AAAGGAACACCACGACGAATAACATTCTAAGAAACTCTTCAACAAAATTAGCAATGCTGATTACTAGATATACCTGGGCTATGTTTCCCCCCTTTGTTCCATGGTCTTTTTCCTTTGTTCGCTTCTGAAATCTTCATCCGTCTCAACTTTTCCCTCTCATCCAGTTCTGTCCTCCCTTTGTTCCATGGTATTTTTCCTTTGTTTGCTTCTGAAATTTTCATACGTCTCAACTTTTCCCTCTCATCCAGTTCTGTCGAATGTTCACTTGAAGATTCCATCTGGGAATCAGAGGGATCCGACCCAACTGAATCCATATCCATTCTCAAAACACTTTGACACCCTTTTACACCATTGTTTTTAGGCACACTCATTGTTTCAAGTGTTGAAACAGCCTTTATCGTCAATCTGTTCCACCATACCTTATTTCTCTCCAAGGTATAATGCTTCCCCCATCGTTTCGCATCGCATGCCGTTTTCCAGGAAAATGCAGACGCCAACTGCAATACTCTCTCATTACCGATCAAATGTTTACTATGCAAACCGGCTTGGGACCTAATCGTTAATCTATTGTTGCTGTGACAAGAGCACGGCTGTGAAATGGCATTATCTGCAAAAAACGAGTAAATTTCGTAGCTTCAGCCCAATTCTCAGAAACTCCAAAGCCTTCCTCCAGCTTTGCAGCAAATAAGAAAGAAGTACACAAACTGCATATTACATTACCAAATCCAAGTCCAAATTCCAAAAGTTCCTCAAAATGAAACACAGAATCATCATGAACAACCAAAGAGAAACGAACAAAAACAACAATAACAACAAAAAAAAAAGCAACAGTGCATAAATTAATAGAAACGGCACAGTTAGGCATAGAACAAACAGAAAAGTACGAATTTCACCAACTAAAACAACTTCAAATTTGAATATATCAACAAGTAAATCCATGGATCGTTTACCTAATAAAGGCATGAGGATCTCACTAAATCCAGATAGCAGCGCGGACTTTTCAGATAAAAGCTTCGATGGCCGCCGCTTGCACAAAATCCATGCACTCAACTACAGTTCAGCTTCTGCTATACCTGCAAATCCAACCAATTCAACGAAAACAAAAATGAACAAGCAATAATTCTGCTGTTTTTATGGGGAGTTTGAACTTTGTCGGGAGCAAAAGCGATAGCCACATACCAGAGGCAGAGTTCTTGCACATGCCCGAACTGTGGATAATGGTGGGATATTTTCAGGAACTTCTGCATTTCTTTACTTTCTATTTTTTCGTATTTATATGTTGCTGGATTTTGCACTTTCCCCCTCATGGTTCACCGTACTAGCAGTTTTTGCCCACCCTAATATGCATAAATTATTTGTTTTTATTATTTTTTATGTATATTTATATAAGCAAAATTAATTTAGTCGGGTGCCTGCGAGTGTTCACACTAGGGGCGGTACCGTAATTAACCAACTCTTCAAGTGTGAACGCAACAAACCAAGTAATTACGGTACCGCCCCTAGTGTGAACACTCGCAGTATATAAACAACCTTTGTTGCGTTAACCAACCGATTCAAGCAGAACGAGGTTGTTTGTATACTGCGAGTGTTCACACTAGGGGCGGTACCGTAATTACTTGGTTTGTTGCGTTCACACTTGAAGAGTTGGTTAATTACGGTACCGCCCCTAGTGTGAACACTCGCAGTATATAATTCAACCTCGTCCTGCTTGAATTGGTATATGAGCTCTAGTTAGTTGGATAGCCGGTTTGAAAACATGGCATTCTAAAATGCACTAGAATAAAATATTTATTTATTTTGGCATGCTGTATAATTATTTAAAACTATTATGTACGCATTTAGCAATAACATCGAAGAAAAAACAGGATTATAGGGTGACAAATCATGGATTAGTAGTATGCACAATCATTTTTTGTTTCGGTAAATTTAATCAATGGGGCGATTCGTGGGCCTCAACTTGAAAGGGAGTGGACAATGCACTTTTATGGCCCATATGCATTCCTAAGTGGGCTGCATTTAGATTCGAAGTGGATCTGTTCGCTATATTTACTTGTCCCGCCATTTTCCCGAAAGTCATGTTACACGCTAAATCCAATCTATATCTATATTCTATATATATATAATAAGAATTACCATTTACCAAAAATAGTAAAAATTGGTCAGAATTTAATGCAGCCTATAAATAGTAAGTTTTATTATTTTTCTTATTTTTCTTTAAAAATCATACAACATTAAATGCTACCTTAAATTTCGGGCTTTAGTTCATTTTATTATTTAAAAAATTCGGCTGATTTATTAAGTGCGTATTTTTTTAATTTTATTTTTTTCTTAGAAATAACGAACAACATTAAAATCTCGGTCTCTATATTTATAAAATTTCAATTCAAAATATAACAAAGGTTTTAAAATCTCTGTCTTTATATTTGTGCTATTAAAAAAAATATTGAACGCTAAAATTATTCTTTAAATTGCATAATCAATCAATTAATCTTAATTTTTTTAAAAATTACTATGTTTATTTTTTATTAATATGCATAAAGTAAAAATAATTAATTTATCTTTAGATATATAATTTATAAACTCAATATACTATTATTTGGTGTAGGCATTTATTATATGAATCATAAAATTAAATATATTTAAAGAAAATAAGAAAATTTCTTCGGATCAATCGGGTGATTGAATTGGGGTACTGCAAAGGTTGATTGAATTTCTTTTAGGCGATATTTAAAAAAGTCAAAAAACTTGACACAAGTAGGTTGGTCCCAGGTGACTAAGTTATGTATCAGTTCGATCACACCAAATCGATTATTGAACCTAAATATAAATTTAATATTGAAAATATTTTATTACATGAATTTGATGTAGTCCAAACTTCAAATAATCGTATTAACAATACTTTTACGACAACATGTTTAATGATTTATGAATATTTATATATCATTTTATTAATATTTATGTGAATTAAATAATATTTTATTACAATATTTATTAATGTACAATAAATATAAAGTTTTCAGAACCGGACCGTCATCGAAACAATCAAACTATTTTATTAAATCATTTGTGATTTATTTAGATTTTAATTTATAAACATTTGAATATATATATACATATATATATATATAGTACTTTTTGTAATAAATTTAAATAAAATGCGTTAATTAGATATCTAAACAATTTATAAATTCAAATGTTTAACCTAATTGATAAATAATTTATAAATCTCTATTTTATTTAAATATGTAATTTTATTTAAAATAATTTTAATTATAAAAAAAATTATTTAGAAATCGTATCGATCCTACCAGTCCAACCGACTAGTGTTGACGGATTCGAGAGCAAATATTTTATTCAAGCGAACTATACTGGTTATAAATCGGTTCTCGGTCCATCCGGTCGGACTGTGTCCAACCCGGTTTAATTTAAAAACAATGGATAAATCATGATTAATGTTATTTATATATTTAATTTTTAATACAATCGTAATATTGTTTTTCCGTGCATTGCACGGGCCACGCACTACTTGGTGGTTACATCACGTAGTAATTAATTTATTTTTAAATCTTATTATTCTCTTATCTTATCTTATCTATACTCTTATTTATAAAAAGGAAGTAAGTGCCTTATTTTTTTGACACGTGGCTCTTCAATTGTATGAAGCCACGTCGCTGGTTTTGGCAAGGTCAATTTTGGACTGTTGGATTTTAGGGATTCATTCCTGACCCTTCGTGTGACCCTCTAAAAAATCTCTCATCTCTTTCCCCAACTCTTGCGGCTGAAATCTCTCTCCCCCTATGTTTCTCATTACGATCATCTTACTCTTTCTTTCTCGATGTTTCTGTCGAATTTCTCGAGTTTCTATCGTGGTTTGCAAGATTACTCATCTTCTTTTTATCTTCTTCCGAAAGGGTTTCTTGCACCGTTGTTTTATCTGTGTTTAATCAATTGAGGGTTCAGTGACTGCGTTTTTTCTTAAAAATTTCTTGCCACTGTTTAGTTGTATGGTTCGTGCGAGGTGAGTTCTTATGTTTTCGGTCATTTTACTTTTAAACTAATCTAGAAGTTGAAATATTTTTTCCTAGGGTTCTTATTTTGGTGTTTTTGTATTTTTGTTTGGCAGGTGGCGAGGGGGACACGGTGCAGCGCGCGACAGACTCCAAGTGGCCATATTAAATCCAGACCGAAGACATTGACGCGACGACGCCCTTGGTGGCGGAGAGGCAGCGTCGGGATGAAGAGGTTCAGATGAAGTACATGACAGCCAACGTGAGGATGAACAAAGATAGAGAATTTGGCGATGGATATTGTCTTGATAAAGTTATCATCGTTACTAAGNCTTTTTTTTTTTTTTTGTTTTTTGTCCACTTATTATTTTTTTATTAATAAATATATAAATTACCCTTTATGGTTTTGAGTTATTGATTTTAGCCTTTTAAATTTTGTTTTTATATTACTGCAGGAAAAGAACTATTGTTGCTATTGGCACGCATGAGGGTGTCAAAATGGAAGACAATCTGAGCGAGAAGACTTCGTGTCTTCATTTCTCGGGAAGATTTTGACTCTTTCGCACATTATCTATTATTCAGCATTCGTTCATACTTAATTTTCCTTTTATTTTCCTGCTATTAACTGAAATTCCCTATGTTGTTGATTGAAGCTCTAACCGGTCGTGTAAAGGGAGCATTCAATTTAACCTAGGGCTATTTGAGAGCTATCGGGGAGGCACATGTGACGAGCAGCGCCTTGGAGAAAACTTGATGGGTGATGAGGCCAAAGGGGAGCTTCCACTGGCAATGAACTCAGCTGGGATCGCCACATAAAGATAATAATTTATTTGGTGTGTGTTACTTTTAAATTTAATGTATAGTCCTTATGAGAAGCACGATTCTTTTTGGGTATAAGATGGATGTAAAAGAGTTGCGGCTTTTTGAGAATGTTGATGTACTTAGCAGCAATTTGGCCAAATATATTGATAAGATATTAGAGTCTTGCATCAAAGAATGAGATGTTTCTTTGCCATCGCTTTATGCGGTGGTTTGCTGATTAACTTGATGGGAGTAAGCTAATGCAAATTGAAGTATTATAGTGCTTTTGTTGGCTTTCGTATTTAGTCTCAATTGGACGACTTATGGACATTGAATTTTGTTTCTGATGCAAAAAGATCTGTGAAGCCCCTTACAACAGGTCAGGTCATTGGTACAAACTCCAAATGGCATATATTTTGGGCCGACGAGCGTGTCATATTGAAAGCTAATGCCGGTAGCAATTACAAGTTTGTGAAGGGTGAGTTTTTGTCCAAGATATATTTCCATTTTATTTTTTCCTTTTTTTCATTTGTGCTCATTTCCTGTTTATGTTGATAATCAAAGTTGATGTACTGACTTTTGTTGGCTACTATTGTCGGCGGCTTTGATAGAGCGTCCGATTCGGCATTTCGGTTGAAGAGTTCTGTAGTTTTCAGGAACCTATTTGACTTGAGGTGATAAAATAGGTAAAGTCTTTTTTTTTTGTCTTTTTGATATTTATCTTTTCATTTTCATGAGTCTTTGTACTTGTTACAATATGTTGATATTCTAAATTCCTGTTCGAGAATTCTAAGGTTTAACTGCCACTGTATTTTCGCAGGTCTGGATCGTCGCTTCATTTTGGTGCCTCTATAAGGTAAATTTAGGCTTTTTTAGATTGAATCTGTTTCCAATTCAGCAAGAAATTGCATGTTCTTTACCCTATGCCTTTTATTCTTATGTTAATTTCTCTTTGTATTAAAGGTGGTGATATTTCACTTTCTGCCTCATATCAAGCTTAAGCGAGCATCAAGATAAGTACTTTGTTGTTGGTTCTTTTTTTCCTCTTTGATTTCATGATATTCTACCAAAAGGTCATAAATTTCTTTAGTTAGGTTTTCTATTTGTTTCCAATATAAGATTATAAGATACTTTTTTCCTGTTCAATGTGATGATGTGGGTTTTTTTTTGCCTTTCATTTCTCGGATTTGGCTTGATTTTTTTGTTGGTTTTTGGTGCTTTTCTATTTTATATTTTATCAATTTTTTATGGTTTAGCTGTAGCATTTATTTTAGAGCTATGTAGTGGAAATCATAATTGTAAGTATGACATTGAAATCTCAATTTTTTTTTCCTCTTTTGTCTTGTGGCTGCAACATTCATTTCATAAGATATTTCAGTCAAAGTAATAATTGTCAATATGACTTTCAAATCTTTTCATATCTTCTTGCAGGATTTCTTTTTTTAAACTCTATTGTGTTGTTTTTACTAATATTAATTTCACTTAGTGATAAATTTTGTTGGTTTGGTGGATTTTAAAGGGGTAGACGAATTTACTGCGCATAATCTTTCAAACGAATGCATGCTAATTGGATAGAATGGACTATATATAGCCATCAAGTACGCAAATTGTCATTATTCATAGTTCTCCATATCTAGGTTGATATCAGGTAGTATTTCTTTCATTGTCTATGTGTTATGTTTGAGAATATTAATGAATTAGAATATTTTCATAACTCACTAAGTCAGTATATGAAATGGGTTGTTTAGTTACTCAGTAATTGATGTCAGGCCTCTTTTAGAGTTTATTTTGGACACTCAAATATTGTTCTTTTCACTTGGGCAGTTAAAATTGAATAAATTAATGTGTTATTGAGCAGTGTAATTATTTTTATTTTTGTCATTTTGTCTTTTATTCTCAAAACTTCGCTTATATATTTCATATTTCTGCTTTTTCCGATATCTCAAATATTTCTCTGTTTCCTTCTGCTAGAATATAAAGAAAAATAAATGTTTCCTACATGAAAAAAAATAAAAGGTGGATATTAAAGGTTCATGCACAATATTCTTATATATTCTATGCATATGTTAGGTTTCCTGTTCCATTTTTCCATCCTTTTTTGGTACTAAATTCATGACATAATCTAATCATTTATGTGCTTCGCTTATAATGAAGGATTAAATTTATTGACTGTTTTGTAGGTTAAAGTCGCTTTTTAAGTTATGGACTGGTGTTGAAGGGACTTTGGATTCTAGAAGACATAATTACAGAAAAATCCACTTTTGTTGGATGTTATCAAGTTTGTGTATACTGTTCCTCGCAACCACTTTACTTAATGTATTTATTAAACTGGTTATCTTCTATTATATGTGTTTGTCACTCTTTTTTCTCATTATTCTATCAAATTTGTTCTTATTTACTAATTTAACTCGAAATATTTAAAGAACTCCATGGTGCGATATAAATTAAATATTTTTAGTACATATTACATAAATAGCAACAATTTCACTAATTTAACTCATGAAGGATTGTCGTTGTCGACTAAAGTTCGTACTTGCTTAATGGTGAATTCACTTATACCTGTCATAGTTGAACCGTGGGCTGGCCGTGCTTTGCACGGCAAGAGTATGCTAGTCTTATCTTCCTCTTCTATCTTTCTTATTTCTCTTATCTATAAAAAGGAACCCCTACCCTCATTTTTTGACACGTGTCCCTCCTCTTGCTATGAAGCCACGTCGCCCTCATCAAAACGATGCCGTTTTGGCCTTAGTTTTGCCAAATCTCGGAGCAAAGATCTTTCCCTTTCAATTTTTCACCAGAAGCTTCTCAGTTCTTGTTTTCCAAAACCCTAATCTAACATCCAAGATTGTGAACCACAAGCCTTCGACGCCGACCCACCCTACAATCGTGACTCTTCTCACATCTTGTTCGAACGACGAGGATGACGATTAAACTTCGACGAACCATGGCCGAGATTTATCAACAAGTAAGATATAATATATCTTCATCTTTCTCTTTATTTTTTTCGCTCTGTATTTATTGGTTTTGCTTTTTTCAGATTTTGCGTTCAATAATGTTTTATTTGGGTGAAAAGTTATCATCTTTGTCATTTCTTTTTGCTTTAAGATTTTTATCGTGTATCTTTTAGCAACAACTGTTTCATTGTCAATATAATCACAATCAAATTCACGAGTTGTTGCAATTTGGTTTCCTCACTTTTATCATCAATCTTTCTTCCTCAATTGGTGTTGCCAATTATAATTGTTTACCATACTCATGGTGGCATGTGTTTTTCTCTAATTCCTTGTTATTTTGGAAATATGATAATCTTATTTGTTTCTAATCCAGGTTGTTCAACTATTTTTATTTTTTTTTATTATGATTTTATAGCATCATTGAGAATTACAAGATTCTTATACAGTAAAAAACAGTCCACCATCTCCCACCTCCTTATTAAAGACAAAGGCTAAGTTTCGAATATCATTAAGCAAAAATGTAACGGGAGTCTAATCGTACCGGCCGATAGGCTCAAACAATGAGTCACCGACGACAACAGTTGTATGGACCAAAAATGAGCAAGTGAGAAAGACGCTGGATGAAACCAAGAAAGAAGCCGAGCTCCACAAGAACACGGCCAACCGCCTCCGGCTCGAGGCTGAGGAGCGATAAAGAGATGGGCTTCGTTAGCTACATCAACCTGGCCGAGGACGAACCGGCTGCAGCCCAGTGTGAGAATGTGAGCTAGCCGAGTCCCTCAAAAAACGTAAAAGCTGTGAGACATCCTCAAGCGGGCGGTCAACGCCACCAATGCTGCTGCAGGCATCGCCTGTGAAGAAAACTCCCTCCTAAAAGACTATGTCACAGAGAAAGGTGAGTGCCTTCATTTCCTCGCTCGGGAGAACAAGCAGCTGTTGCTTTACCCTGAATTTCTATTCTTCTTTTTACTGATGGTTGGCTCTTTGTACTTTTTAATTGCTTGCTCTCTTATCACACAATGAATTGGCAATTTTTCTTTTCTTTTCTTTTTTTTTTTATGAGTTTGGGTATTCTCTGACTTTATATTATTTGGGGATAGATCCAACATCGGCTTTGAGATTTTAGCTCAGATTGGAAAGCATGGAGCCTCCATTGCCATAATGTGCCATCGCAAGGCTGTCATAGATGACGCCGTTTCAGCCCTCAAATTCCTCCACATCCCAGTATCACTCTTTCTTCCATTTTCCTGTTAGATAAATAAATTAACTCCTTTGTTAAGTAGCTTAATTAAATTGTTGGTATACCAATCTTGTGTAGTTTAGATTTGGAGTTTTCGGGTTTAGTAAAGAATAAGTCTGCTTCTTTCTTTGTTGTTAATTTAGTTCAACAAAGAGTCTGGAAACCAAGTCGATGAATGCAAGTTGAAAGTTGTGTATGTAGCCTGTCCGGGAAGTGTCGAAAGAGGGTTCACCTCCAAGGGCCTCTGTATCGGACAATGGAAACATGAAGTGAACCTCTGATTTCAATGCTGTGAGTTTATGGACGTTTACGCGCTAACTTTTCATTTGAAAATTTGATATTGATTGGTTTTCTTCTATGGCTACATGTTTCGAAAAGACTTGTTGAGACTCGGGCTGGCGTTCTGAATATGAAAATGAGAATATTTCGATTGGGTTATTCAAGTGTTCAAGAATTTGTTCATTCTTTTACCAACTAATTTTACATGCAAGAGCTTGGGGCTACCTATCAGTTGTAAAGGTACAACTTGGCTTCTGTGAATAGACATCCAAGTTATCTCATATGTATATATCTTATAGTCTAAGTATTTAAGAAAAAGCAGTGCAAACACTGTTCGTTTATTTTTTTTTATTTACATTTATTAATATTTGGTATTTTTCATTTGATGAAATAACTTGCAAAACATTTCAAAAAATCTGTGGCCAAATAAATTGAAACTAATGAAAAAGGAATTTGTAAAACAATTAGCATGGGCCGGTCGTGCTGTGCACGGCCGATAGCCTCCTAGTCTTATAAGAAAACCATATAACCCCTTTGTTAGCCGCCACGTGGCACTCCTCTAAAGGCTCCATTTTGTTCAAAACGGCACCGTTTGAGAGATTTAATTGAAATTGGTTTTTGTACAATAATTTTGTATCAAAACGACGCCGGTTTGAAAGGCTGAAAACGGGCCTCTTTTTACACAGTGAATCTGCACACGCCACTCCACCCGCACACGCAATCATCACATCACATTTAATTGCAGATAGAGAGAAAACATCCTCTCCTTTCACATCTGCGTTGACTACATCGGCTCCATCGGCTCCAAGAAGCTCCACCAGATCACCAGAGGCTCCACCACCACCTTCTACATCTTCCAGGCCACCGGTGAGGCCGCCGGAACTCCTGGCTTCGTCAACATCACCGTCATCAAGGCTAGAAAGGTTGGCTTCTCCCACGTTGATGACGCCGTCATCGACGGCGACGCCACCACCCAATGTCGACCTATGTCATATCCATCAAGGAGCTGCCATACAACATCTTTGTCATCCAAATTAGACACGTCCTCACCTCGCTGGAGGTGGAGGCTCCAGTCTCCTCGCCGTCAGATCTGAACCTGACATCTCTAATGGCGAGGCAGGGGTGCAAGGCGTTCTCATATCTGATAACGCCTCTTCCAATGCGCGCCCCGTTCGTTCCTCTCTGGTTGAGTTCCCCCATCTCTCTTCTCTTCTGAAAATATCTCAATTTTAATTCCACCTCTCACAGAACGCACATACTGCCTCTTGCCAGGTTTAATTCCCCACCCCCACCTTCCTCCTCAGCTTTTGCTGTCGAAATTTCGATTGTCCGATTCGAAAATGTTCAGCCCGCTGAAGGACGATAGGTACGCCGGCTGCCGGAGGACCGAAGAAGGCTTTATCAAATGACACCACAAGCATGAAGTTGGCGAGGACCAGTGCAGTTCCTCTCTGGTAAGCACATCAAGGCTCTTTTGCCTCTCGTCAGTTCTGATATAGAGTATAAATTTATGTTCTACGCTTTGATTATTATTTAGATATACGACTAATTTGATGAGCTTGAGAGATTGTTTGAAATTTATTTTTGATAGGATTTAGGTGTCTTTGATTTGTTTAGGTCATCAGTAAGGATAATCGATCAGCCGTAGAGTACAAGCAGTCTGTGAGTAGGTGATAGTACAAAGCAATTTACAGATTGGGACTATTTGAGAGGTCAGAGGTGAATGTGAAATCGGGACTTCTGGCAACGACCAGAGTGAAGAGCTGACATCACTCCTTCCCAGCTATATCCTCTAGCTTAGTTAATGGTGGTAATCTTAAATTTCTATTAGCTTCATTCAAGCTTTCATTTTGTTTGTTATTATTTGTCCGTCTTTGAAAATGAGCTTTCCTTCCTCCTTAGATTGCTGCCTACATTGTTAAAGAAACGATTGCATATATGGGGGTCCCAGGTTGCTGATGAGGGTAAGATTCTAATCAATTTATTTTGTTTAAAGCAGAGAGACATGGTTTTTTGCTTTTAGCAGATGACACGTGAATTAGGTTTATGTCAATATCACGATAACAATGAAAAATAAAATATCCTGACTTGGAGGAGCAACCTGTTAAGATGCGTATATGTGTACATAATGTAATATCTTTTACATGTGTGTTTTTTAAAAGAAAACCACTTCACTCATTTTACCTTGTTATGTAATGGAGGTGCACCCAAGAAACGCTGCTTACTGTGAGATCTAGATTCGGATCAAGAAATTCATTATCAGTAGGTTAATAGAATTCCTAGGGAAATATGAGGCAAATGGTTAGATTTTTGGGTTTAAATTTAGGTTCTCCAGAACTATTTTAAGGGAATTGAATTCATGATGGCTCTGGATGTGTTGGAACTTTCTGAAAGAAAAAACGACATGGTTTATGTAGTTTTTATGTCCAATTTTTTATACTCCACGCATTCATTAGTTGCCATTAAGGAGATTAATGATATGAAAACAACTTTCTACACAGTTGGACAGTGGACTCCAAGAGAATCACCTTCTCGGGATACTTTGATTTCTGAAGGTAAAAGATATTCATTTTTCTCTCTGTCTTGAATTTTTTAGCATATAATATTTGTTAACCATTCAATTAGCAGGTACACATGCATAATGATTAGACATTCAATTTAACTTACTCTAATGTTGATATTGTATCCAACCTTTACATTGGGAAATCGAGCTTTGTCACATCATACGCCTTCTCAATGTGAACCAAACAATTTTAATTTTCTGATTTATTAACAAAAGTCTGGATATCAACTGCACAAAGGATAGTAACCAAGCAAATCTATAATCTTATTTGCAGTTTTATATATTCAAGTTTCGTAATATATTCAGTAATTAATATATATGAAGAAGTGTTCTTATTTTGTGTGAATTTCTTATATTAGGTTTATGTTTTGGAAAGATAAGAGATTTTGATAAAATGGAAGTGGTGAAGAAACTGTTTCAACATTGAGTTTTATGCTACTCAGGAGATAGTACTTGGCTCTTTTTATTCACTATATGAACCATTATGTGGCCTGCAATAAATATCTATTTTCTTTCCTTTATTTATTTTTAGTGAAAGTTCTCCATTGATCTGATTTGGTGATTTATAATTTCTCAACTTCGGCTAAGGTAACATTTTAAATACTGAGTTTAACATATGTGGGTTATGATCAGCTCAAAATATTTAATTAGTTTTACTTATACGCATTTTCTATTTTTTCTACATTTACATTTACTCTATCTTACTGTTTATTCAAAAAAAAGTTTTTTTCCTTGGTGTGAAATTTTCTTTCGCAGATTGATCCTGTATAGAACGACGTTGCATTTGAAACTACTCGAAACATAACGGAAAACTTGTTCTGTTGACAAGCTAATGTTCTGGAGGTATTTATAGACATATTTCTCCCTGTTTATAGATTATTAATAGATTAACTAAGTTGCTATCTTCGATATAATATTTTATTAATTGCATGTCATATTTACTTTGTTTCCTAATATTAAATAAATGTGTGGTAAGAAAGGATGAGTACGCCTGTATATATTAAATTTAATTTATATTTTATGGCTTATTTAATGAATTATATACTTTGTCCTAGACCGGTAACACTGGTGAGTAATGGATCCAAATGCGCGCACACACACACACACACTCATTAACTTATTTTAAAAGTGCTTATCTTTACTAAAAGTAGGGTTTACAAAGAGGCCCACTCATCTTTCAGAATTATAATCAAACCTTTACTATGATATAGACACTATGAAGCTTATTTTCTCTCAACAAATATGCTTAATTTGACTTTACTGGTGAGCAATTTGTAGAATGGAAAACTTGAGGGAGTGTTTATAATACGCGTATTAGTTGCCTTTATTCCTTGTATTTAGTCTATAAATTTTGTATCAACTATTATACTTATTTTTATAAGTACGTATTCCATTTGGTTGAAACTCTTATTTCTTTTTGGCACTCTCATTTCTTTCAGCTCAGTTATCGGCAACTGATGGGCACTGCGATATGAATGTCATGGCAACTTATTTGCTCGGCGTGTTGGCCTACGACGCCCCTTCCGTCAATGATGATAGGGTGTAGCTTCTTTTGTCACAAGTGAAGGAAAAAGACATAACAGAGCTAATTACCGCTGGACGTGAGAAGCTGGTATCTGTATCTACCGGCAGTGCACCAGGTGTGGCCGTGGCCGAGACGAAGAAAGAAGAGAAAGTTGAGGAGAAAGAAGAATCCGACGATGATATGGGCTTCATCCTCTTGGACTAGATGGTTGTGGTTTCTACATACAATATCTTTGTGCTATTTTTTTTATTTTTTTTTCCATTAGGTGCCTGTTTTATGCTTCAAAAACCCGACTTTTGACCTTATTTTTATTACCTTTTGGTGTGCAAATTATGGAAACTAAAGCGCGGACAACTCAATGTATTTGAATTTTTTTAATGTTGCTTGAAAGCTTATTATTTGGAGGGGGAAAAAACCTTATTTCTTTTCATATTTGGTATACTGGAAATGACATTTCTATTGATTTTTTCATAAGGCCCACAACTTTACAGGATGGATCATGAGACAATGACAAAGAAGGCTTGGCAGGACAAAGATTATGATGTTGCAACGTTGGCAAAGAACTCAAGTCTGAATTTCTAATATGGAATTTGCAGTAATACTACATTGAGGATGAGATTGAGGATTTTAATTTGTCTTTTGTGATCTCTTTATTAAGCTCTATTATCTCATATTTTGTTGCATTATAAGGAGATTAGGTTAATATAAGGTGGAAAGGAATGAGGGTACAATTTTCCTATAGTAGTTCATGTTAATTTGCTCTTGCATTTTAATCAACTTTTTTTTTTCTTCAGGCACAAGGTTACCTAGAGATTCTTAATGAGGTATAAGCATTAATTAATCTCTCACTCTCTCTTTCCCTCCCACCTTACTCCCCCGCTTAAACTCTCCCCATGTGCATCGACAGTTTCCCCAAGGTATGCATTAAGGTTCGGTTACTATTTTTCATTTAAATACAAATAATTACAACTTATATAGTTCTCACGTATAAGTCCTACCCTATTTTTTTGACACGTTTCCCTCCTCTTCTTATTAAACCACGTCGCCATCTGAAAAAACGATGTCGTTTGGTCACTTTATTTCTCCAACCCTGTGGCCTGTGCGTTCATTACTCACACAGATTTTACGCCCAATTTTTTTTGCCTTCAAATCTCATTCTTATTTCCTATGCAAATCTCTTCATTTTTTTTTATAATTTTCCTTTCCCACTGATGTTTGTAGCCTCCAAACCCCAGTATGTCGTCCTTATTTCCTATGCGAATCTATTCGTTTTTTTATTTTTTTTCCAGTCTGGGTCTCATTGTTTTGTTGAAGTGTGGTTTGAGAGCGGATGCGTGAACGGCGGTGCAATTTTCCTCAGCTATGGACCGATGTATCAAAATTAGATGGCATGGAGTCTATGGACACGGAGGAGTCTGTTACGGTATCGATGCTATTTCTTAGGTAAGCTTNACTTAGGTAAGCTTTCTTTTTTAATTTTAGTACTTTTGCAATTTAGGTTAAATTATTAGGGTTCCTAATGACCTTATTCGACTGTTTGCATAGGGCTCGCTGGATGACTACGGGCCGCACACGAGGAAGGATGAATTGAGAAGAACTTGGGTGTACAAGGGCCTGCTCATCCAGCAGAAGGTAGAGGCTGTTGTGGCTGCAATTCATTGTTGTGAGTTTTCAATTTTGGATAATCGATTCTTGGACATTTTTAAATCTGAGTTTAATGCATCTTTTGTCTGGCTTTTACATTTTTTCGCCTGTTGCATAAAAATAACATTACATTGAAGTTTGTAGGTATAAAAGGTCTGGAAGATGATACTTTTGTCTTAATTTTTGTTATATAATTATACTACTCAGTGGTTATATTATATATCTGTAATACTTATTTAGTACTTATGGTCAAGCCTAAAACATTGCACTTTACTACTTGAAAAAAAAAAATATTGAAGCAAAATGATTTTGGCGCCTTGGTTTCAAAGTGTAATTGGATAGATATTGGAGTAATTTGGTGGGATAAAGAAGGCATTCAGACTAAACCTTTTGTCAACCAAAAATGAATATGTTAGCTAACACATAAAATTTTGGTTCATGTTGTACATTCAATTTAGATCAAATTATTTAAATTCTTACAGCCATACAGTTTGTGAGTTTATTCAAATTGAGAGAAAACACTGATTATGGTACAGGGTTGGGATGGCTAACCTCTCTATCATTTTCTCTTTTCCCCCTATTTTGTGCTATAAAAATAACTCAATATTTCACAAAACTTGTGAAAACACTGCAAATGCTATCTGTGGAATGGCGAAATAATATCTTTGACCTAATAACTATGCCGCTTAAACATTTGCACCCATCACTAAGAGCATTATTCTTTTTATTGCAGATGAAAGGTTTGGATGTGGATGCACTCTTTATTTCCCACATTCAGGTTAACCAGGCCCACAAGCAGAGGCGCCACACATATCGTGCTCATGGACGAATCAATCGCATGTCAAATCTTTTCTTTTAAACTAAAGTGTAATTTGAAGTTTGAATTATTCTGCAGTTCAATTGGTATATCTGCTCTAGCTAATGTCTTGTTCTGTGTGTTGTGAATTGAGATGCTAAGTTTGGAACATATTTACTCTTTCAATGAAAATTTTGAGCTGCTAACATGAGGAAATTCCTTTCAGCTTACATGTCATCCTCCTGCCACATCGAGTTGATTCTATCTGAGAAAGAAGAGCCTGTCAAGAAAGAGGTAACTATCTTTGTTTTTACAATTTTGGTTTCAGTTTGTCAAATAATTTTTGTATTAGCTGATACTATAGTTTTCCCGGTTCATGAATGACTTCTTTTTCCTGTTTCATTTTTCAACACGATTCACAATTGGCAGCAAGCAAACCTAGGAAGGCTTGAGCTTGAAATGGTTGGTATGTTTTGTTCTGAATCAAGTTTCTATTATCAGCATAGTGAGTTTAAATTTTGAGGATTATTGAATGAATTAATCTAATGGATTTTTTTTTTTCTTTCTGCTGTAGGATGTTAATGCTTATTATTGAACTTATAAATGAATGCATTACTGCATTGGTACATGTCTTTTTGCCAATTACGCTATAAGTTTACCAGATAAATAAGTTTACTGATTTATCGGAAGTTCATTTTAAAACGATCACTAGACACAAAATGTTGTGGGAAATTTATTTTTACAAATAAAATTCTATTTTATAATTGGTCGCAAAGAACCACGTAATATTTGACGAAAAGCATTATTAGTTAAGTTTATTTTCTCAAACAAATATAATATATACTCTCTTAAATCGTGTGAAAACTGAAAAATGAAACAAACTTGTATGTAATGATGTGATTAGGAAGAAATGTGATTCAGTAACAGTTGAAGCTTGAGTTGTTTGTACAAAAGATTGAAATTAGTGTCTAGACATTCGATTGGTTTGATTTTCAGGTGCTCTCAATTAGAAGAGTTCTTGATGATAAAAGAAAACAAACTTTTCTTTAATTTCTGGTAAGTAGAGTTCCTCTTCCTTGCCAGACACGTGTGACATTAACATTTAAGTCGACATGTACCCTTCCTCATGCTCAGTGACGAAATAGAATTCATGGGAACAAAAATGCTACAGGGTAAACTATATATTAATGCAACTCTCATAATGCAAATGTATAAAATCACTAATGGATAATGTAAAATCAAATAATATTCATTTGCTATTAACTCACCACCATAGCATTTTGGTTTATATTGTCATATTGTGGTATCATTCCATAGTAGTTTTAGTGCCAACATCTCGAATTCACTTAATTCAAATCAAAATTACTATTACAATTCTAATGTTTTCAAAAACTTCTGAGGCCCAGTGCCGCCTAACAACCATGTAGTTCCGTTGGTGCGCTCGTGCTTCATCCATTTTTCACAATTCATCTATATTTTCTGCAGGTTGCAGTGGTAGAGGACCCCGACAAAAACGTGCTTACTGAAACATGGAAATCGTGGCTGCAAGAGCACATAGCCTCAACTGGCAAAGTCCCACCTGGAAACCAACCAAGAAACTCGACATGGGTCATAAACGCCCCGCCCAAGAAGGCGGACCTGCGGCTAACCTCTGGTTGACCTCCGACTGTGACGTGCAGCTAACGGTGAAACAAAGTGGTGCCCTTCATTAAGGGTTTGAGGGGGGCCCCACAATGCGGGTTTACGCAGAGTGATGGCCATCCTCGAGAGCCAAAAGATGGTCGTGTTGGACGACTAGCTTAACCACATGCAAAGGAGACTGAACAAGTATAGCAATTGACCTACGTTCCTTCGGGGGTTTTCGTGACAGATCTTGACACAAATAGATGTGGTATATTTAGTGGTACATTTTATTTATGGTTTCAATAATGTATTATTATTTTTTTCTTTATTTCCCATTGTTTTCCAATTACAAAAAATAATCTTTCGACTTGAAAGAAAAATTCTAACGTGGGCCGGCCGTGCTGTGCACGGCGATAGCCCACTAGTATATATATAATTTTTTTCCATATATATGTATATGTATATGTATATGTATATATATATATATTATATATATGTATACATATATATATATATATAGCCCACTAGTATATATATAATTTTTTTCCATATATATGTATATGTATATATATGTATATATATTGGTTGTTTTTGCTTTTGAGCATGTTTGAAAGAAACTATATTGGCACAATCATATTACAAAATTATAAGTTTATATATATCTATCAAGAAATTAAATTGGTCATGATCAAGTCCTAATGAGTATAGAAATCATACACGGTCAAAAGCAAGTTTTATTATTTTAAAATATAATTTAGAGTATTTGTGTTTTAATTATAAATTTAGATTAAATTCCTTTTATATATATTGATATAGTTTGTGTGATTACAACTTTATCATTAAAAATATGTCGAAGTAAGAGGTTTTTAGGCAATTCATTTTTTTACAAATCGCTCGTCCTTTTATAATTGTAAAATAAAATAAATAAAAAAATAAAATAAAAAATAAGTAAATAAATAGTATAGATATATATAGATATGTATAGATAGATATAGACAGATAGATAATACCTTCAAAAGCATTTGATTAACCTTAAAGTTTGTGAGAAAAGTTAATTCTACCAAATAAAACATATCTAGATATATGAAACATAAGAAATGCTCTCCTACCCACGGTGGGCACATGTTAATATGTCAACCGTGGATGTGGCATGCACACATTGGTGATGCTAATATATTAAAAAAATACATCACCAATGTGTGCATGCCACAT